GGGGGGAGCACTTAAGCAGGTAAAAAAACCTCCTTCATAATTATTTTAAAATAATACTGATTTTATTTACGTTGGCTATCGCTTGCATATCGGGTTAAATCTGAGTTTCAAGTCGATCTATGGCAAGGTACGTGTCAGTGCCACTAATCAGCTGGTGGCCAGGGGACCATTTTCCGTGGGAGAACTTTGAAGAAAGCAGGGAGAAATACGTTTTTCAAGTACTGAAATAATTTATCCCGGAATATGTGTGTGTGTGTATATGTATATATATGACAAAGTGAATATAGCCTGTAATCGCACGGCTGCCAGACCCGCGGATGGTGCTCTGCCTGAAATGCATCTTCCCCCATATTTATTGACTTGAAGAGATAATCCTGGAATAAACAGAGGCATCTGGATGCACGAGGAAATACATCCCCGGCCTAGAGTCTGCTTTGGGTTCATTCTACCCATTGTGTGCAGTTTTTATCCCCCTTTTTAAATTTATTTTTAATAATAGGACTGGTGAAAAAAAAAATGAACAAAGGGAGGGAGAAAGAATCGGAGCAGGAATGAAAAAAAAAAATTGAGGGGGAGAGGAAGAGAATGAGAAAGGGCAAAGAAAGAGGCAGTTGTGGTGGTGATGAGGGGGGACGAAGGCAAGTTTATTCCGCTGCAGGGCTCCGAAAAACGGGCTGCCGGGTGGAAGTTGGAGCCGGTCGCAGCTTTACTTTCGTTTCGCTTATGGAGAGATATGAACCCAGCACAGCTCTTAATTGCTCCTCCGAGGCGCGGGGTGGAGGTGTGCGGAGGAGCCGAGCGGGAGCCCTTTTATCCTTTTTATTTCTCTCTCTATCTTTATTTATTTATTTTTCCCCCTTCTTTCTTTCTTTCTCTTCTTCCCCTCTTTTAATCCGAACTTGACAGTGCTGATTGAACCGAGATAGCGGCAGAGACGGGGGGTGAGGGGGCCTGGCGCGGGCAGGGGCTCCGCTCGGCCGCCGGTCGGAGTCTGAGGGGGGGGTGTGGGGGGGGGGTCGCACGGATCGCGGCCCCTTTGGCTGCAGCTGCGGCCGCGGGGTGCCTGGACCGATCCAGAGGGGGCAGCATCCAAGCCTGGATGTGCAGCAGATCCTGTCCCCCACCCCAAAATAAGTGCTTGCTCGCTTCCTCTCTTTGCACTAAAAAAACACGTACAGACACAATAAAAAAAAAAAAAAAAAAAAAATCGGTCGGGAAAAGCAGCATAAAACGCAGTGTCACCTAAGCAAGACAGTGCCCCATAATTACCCCTCCCTCTTCCTCTACATATATTTTTTATTACTATTTATATATTTTTTTCTCTGCTGCTTTCAAGGGAGAAAGCGAAAGCGGAAGGTTTCGGAGCGCAGCCCAGAGGCCGGCGGGGCGCGGGAGCGCGCAGGGCCGCGGAGGCTGCGCGCAAAAAGCGCCTGCCAGCAGCGGGGCTCCGCAAAGGTATCCTCGGAACAGGCTGTCTAGGACAACACTCAGACAAAGACGCTCGTTTTTCATTCACCGTTCGGGAAGATTTTTTTTTTCCCAAGAAAAAAAATATATACATCGCTATATGTAATTTATATATATGTAATTCACACACACATATATAGTGCTTTTGGATTACTTGCTTTAGTTTTGTTCTGTGCAATTAACTTTCTTCCCCCTCCAAGAGCAGCCTAGGGGAGGTGAGTGGAAAGGACAGCCGCCTGCCTGGGATGTGCTAGTCCTCCATCATTGCAGAAGAGGTAAATTGGCATTAAGCAAGTCTGGGAGCTTTTGTGGGAGCCCAGGAGCCTCGCTGGAGGGGGCATAAAAGCTGCGGGATAAGCTTGTAGCTGCGGAATTCACCAGCTTAATTCCACGGTGGATATTTGCTTGCAGTCCTTGCTACTTCATATGTATACAATATATATCTATTTGTCTGTGAAATAAGAATATTTCAAGATATGGCTGCGTTTCCCCCGTTCACTGCCTGGGCTTTATGCATCTAACTTTGCATTTATCCGTGGTGATGGTTTCACGTCGAGGGAAGCGTGGAAGGACAATATTTTTGCGGGTTCATGTCGCATGTGCAGCTAAATGTTTGGGGGACGATGTTGTCTCGATCCATGCCTGTAGTTTGCTTGAAGGTGTCTCCAGCTCTGCTTTGTCCTGGTTATTACTTAGAGAAGAGCAAGCCCTGAATGAAAAGGGATTTCTATTTCCAAAGCAATGATTTCTTTATATTTTCCTTTTACTTTTGTTATTTATATATGTTTATTGATCCCGCAACAGTATTTAGAGTGAACAACCGTATGTGCTGCAGGTTTCCGTGTGGAATAAAAGAAATCCTTGCAAGATATATTTTCCTTTGTGCACCGTCAAAACGTACCCTTCACGACCAATTTTAGTGACCTTGTCTGCTTCCATTAAGGTTACCGAAACTGCTGCTACTTATATAAACTGCATTGCAAGGTTAATCTCTGCTCTTTTTATTTTGCATTTTATATGTGCTTCATTCGGATATTTTTATTTTTATTTTGGAAAAAAAAAAATGTTCCCACTGGCTCTGCTTTTCTGGGTCTTTGCAGGCTCCGTCCTTCCTTTCTCTCCCTCTTTCTCACCCTGCCTCTCTCTTTTTCTTCCCCTCTCTCCTCTTCTGCATAGAGATGTCTGCAGACAAGCACTCCGCTAAGTCTCCACTTTAGAATATTCCATCAAAGTGTAGCAAAGCCAAGCTGCTTTTTCCCCTTCGCATGTCACCCTCCAGTATATTAGCAGGCTTGTACAGTAAGTATTTTTAAGTGGTAATTGATAAAAGGATGATGAGCATCTTTGTATATATATATATATACATATACACATATATAATTTCCCTTCGTGCACGTAAAAATAACCGCCATTGGAGACTTGTGATTGACAGATAAATAAGACTCGATAAAGGCCAAAGAAGACACTCTGCTCCTGCAGAAATATCTCCCTTTAAAGGGCTCAAATAAAGCACAGGAGTTAAAACGGAATGGGGAATAAATTCTGAGTGAGTCGAAGACTTTTCTTGGTGAGCTGGGGAAAGCTGGGATCACTTCACTAACCCCCTCTCCTCAAAACACGTAGGATAATTCGAAGTCTGCTTTTTGTGGGGTGTTTTCCGAGGGGAAAGTGCTCAGTCGTGAATTGAGATGCAGGCTCTATCTGCGCTGTCACGTAACTTTGTAGGGTCTAGGGGACTGCTTTCTCAGTCCTTCTCTCCTATTTACTCCCCCCGGCCCACGTTTATCTCCTTTCTCCTCAATACTCCAGTATTCCATGCAAATTATAGGAAAGAATACATATACAATGTATATATTCTGACATATATGTTCATGAGACTTGCACACCCTGTACCTCTTGGATGACACTGGCGAATGCAACATCACTGGGGACTCCCCCCGGCGTTTGCGTCCTTGTCTGTCTTTCCCTTGGAGGAACCACCAGAGCTTTCTCAGTCCCCACTTTTTACTTTTCCTCCCGGACCTGCAACATTCCGAATCACTTCTCTCTATAGCCCCTATAACATCTGAGGTAGTGTACTGTTCTGGAGAGTCTAGAAAATTCATATTTGGGAAAGTTTTACTTCTTATAATAAAACAAAATAAATAATAATAACAATAAAGTTATTTTGATTATTTTTTTCCCTTTATTCCGGACAATTCAGCTACCTCAATTCTTGAAGACTTCAATGAGCTTGAGCTATTTACCTACCTGTCTTCCCTTACAAAGGAAAGATTATTCTTTAAAAAAATAAATAAATAAAAGGAAAAAAGCGGGTTCTTTTTTTTTTCCTAATGTCCCCACTTCTTCCATCAGTTTGATGTTTTTTTCCTAATGTCCCC